TTTTTTTTTACTATAAAAAATTTACTTGTACGGAAAGTCACTCAAAAAGTTGTCATTCTATAAAAGCCATTTTTGTTATTTCTATCTACAACTATCTAAGTGCTGCTTAAAACAATAAAATGTGATGTAACTTGCTGCACCATTTCAGGTTTCCCTTCCCTTTGGTGCCTAGACACTTTTGCTGTTGAAACATTTGTATTCACTTACGATCAACAAACTTTATTTGTAATGGTTAAACAAAGGTAGAAAAAAAAACATGGTAAATGATTGTAAAAATCAATCTTAAGTGTATGGTTTTTCATGAATTTTGCTTTGTTATTTTTTATAATCTGAATAAAAAAAATTATATCCATATACGGTATCAGGGGATTCAAAAACAGGGGCACTGTGGGATTCGAACCCTCGATGTAAGGATCATTTCCTTACTTCGCAACTCTAGGGCAGACCACGCGCGCTTCTAGGGTAGAAACGTTCATCAACAGTTCTCTATTTTTTCACCAAGCAAGAAAGGTCTATGCCGTTTAAAATGCCATAAACGATATTGCATAAAGAGAACAAGACAATTAAAAACATGATGCATGTCAATATAAAATTTAATATTTATATTTACTCCATACAAAATAAGAAAGCGTGTATCTTCATCATCCTTTCACATAGGAAATAGGTTTAAAGTAACATTTTTAACGATGCAATTTTCGTAAAAATGGTAAACAAACTACGGTCCCTAATTACATTTTTACTGATTTAATAAATGAGATATACTACTCGGCGAAAAAAACTTAATGATACATATAAATTTGACTTTTCGTTTCTTTAATAAAATATTAAGGCTTACTTGGTGTGTTTAATTTATTTTTAAAGTACAATTAAATCTGTCAATAAAAACGAATACATAGCGAAGTGTGAATAATTTTAAAAAATTAGATATGAATTAAACTCCAAATAATGGAACAATACGTATTTCTGAGAATGTATTAATATTGAAGAAAACAAAAACAACTGCATTGTTTTTGGACCGTAGTCTGCATCCCAGATATAATTAATAGAAGTCCTGAAATGTTGTCAATTCCCCCAAGAATGCAGTTTTTCAATAGCTTACAGATAGGAAAACCAAAAAAATTTCAATTCGGAGTTTCAACAAAACAAACGCGAGGATAAATTTAATGGACAAAGCTCGTAGCACAAACATACTTCAAATCCATTTAAACATGCATGTTTTTATTGTTTAGGTGTGAATAAGTAGTTTTCGTATTTCGCTTAATATTTTATATTGTACTTCAAATTTTATTGGTAAAAACTAAATACATTGATGTTTGCCAGTAAAACACTCCTAAAGTTTCGAAGTAACTGGAAAATATCAGGAAACCAAATGCACTCCAACAACTCGGTTAAAGGTCAAACTGTTTCAAAATACTTTTTTTCATATGCAAATACATGTAATAAAAATTCCTTTTAATGAAACATTTTCCTAAAGAGTTATTGAAATAAATTATTAATTGGAATGATCCCTTAAGACAGCTAAGGTGTTGTTTTTTTTCTTTTGGAACTCCTCTTATATGCCAAAATTCAATAATCTCAATTTTTAAAAACTTTTTTAACGCGTTTAAGTTTGCTAACGTGTTTTTATTAATTTTTTTTTGAAACACTGCAAATTTGGATAAAACTAGGTGTGTAACTACCCGTGTGAAATTCACTCATGTACATCATTCACAATCCCTTTCAGAAAGTTCGGGGGAACCCCCGGTGGATTTTACAAGTAAACTCAAAATACTTTTGTCAAGGCTTATGTCTGACAAAATTCTAGTTTATTTTTTAAACTAAAAAAATCATTCTCAAGAATTTTATTGACAAATCTATTCTGTTTTCTCGTTTGTTTGTCAATAAAAACATTTAAAATGATATTAAATGTCGAGTCGTGTATATTTTAAAAACGAAAATTTTATCAGTTAAAATCTTTTATATGAAGGATAATACTTCACATGCCGGCAAAAATAACCTTAAACAGCATTGTACTACATATAAAGTGTCTTGTCTGTATATTTTATGTGATTTTTTACATTCCTGCTACATCTGTTGTTCCTTTATAATTATCAAAAGTAATTATTAAAAGATTTTAAACACTACTGATTGTTTTACTTGAAAAGACGTTAATGTTAATCTAACAACCAAGCTCTATGATAAACGTGATAACTTTACTTTTCTATTGTCAACTTCCCTTACTTATGAATTATACCTTCATCAACTGCATACGAGATTTATATATCTCAGTTGATTCTATACAGAAGAGTATGCTCTACGTATGAGCAATTTCTAAAACGAGGTAAATTATTGACAAACAAGTTGATGAAACAAGTATATCAGCAGTCTTGTTGAAAATCATCGTTTCGTAAGTTCTATGGTCGATACAATGACCTTGTCAGCAAATACAATTCATCATTGAGTCAAATGCTGACTGACGTTTTTCATACTAATTGTTAGTCTATTACACTGAATTGACGACGGATTTTTTCGTTATATCCCGATCATGACAAGGAGCACACGGCGGGTATGACCGGTCGGCAGGGGATGCTCACTCCCCCATGGCAACTTATCCCACCTCTGATGTTTTGAATGTCTGTGTTTGCTCTGTTCCTATTTTATATTGTTTTATGGACTTTTGATCTTGAATACTGTTACTTTTTTCCATATGTTTCATTCTAATCAAATTTTAAATCAAAAATCACCTGCCTAATCAAAACACTGTATGACAAAGTAACACAGATTCTAAGAAATAATTAGTTAGATATACTTTGCACTTTTTTGTTGCATGAAACACATTTTGAAAGTTCTGTATATTTAAAGCAAACGATCCTCTTTAATAATCCAATTAATCATTAACTTGAATTAAAATATGTAATATCAATGAGGTTCATATAATGTATTGTACTTGTGGTGTACATTAAAATGCATCAGTTTTGGAAATATAGTATTCGAGAGTAAGTTACAATATTTTACTGTTTACTGGGATCAATTGATAAATATTGATACGATAGATCCATATCTCGTTTTATAAATTTGTGATTCCTTTTTGAAAAGTACAAATTAAAGTAAATCATATCAATTAGTTATACTCTTTCTCAATAAATATATCTCACTTTAAATATTATTAATTAATTAATTGATTAATTATAAGAGGAAGGGCTACTTGTCGGGAAACTTTTATTTGTCTTCAAATGTTTTGATTTTAATGCCACTTTTACAAACATAAAATACATTTATATTTATTTTTACGGCTTTCAGATGCAATTTAGAATCACAAAACATTACAAATTTGACACATCTCTTAATTAAGGCATTTCCCCTGTTGCATTTTACTACAAGCATGTAGCAAAGGAATCCAAAATGGGCAACATGAATGTAAATTATGACCGTTGTATACCTGCATGTCAAATACTAATTTAATTTGCGAGAACATCATTGGTTTTAGCCAATATAGTCGTATTAAGTATTAAGTAAACCAAGGGATTTATTTCATCTTACGCTAAAATATATCTTGAATGGCCCTTAGTGCAAAACAAAATATTTCAAAATGTTAAAAAGCTAAAGATACCCTAAAAATATTTCTTTCGTCTTTTTGATTTCCGAATAAAAAGCTAAAGGCGGATATTTATATTTTTTAAAATCTTTCAATTGACTTATTAATTTGAATTACTGCGCAAAATCGTATCAGAAATAAATGGGCGTATTTATGTTCCCCGTTATTTGTATATCTGCACTATTACGTAAAGTGCGTTAGGCATTAAATTTTAAATCTCTTTTAGAAAGTCCCAGAGAAGTCCCAAGTGGATTTTATATTAATACCTATTGTGAATACTTGTTTAATATTTACGTGTGCGTAGAGGGTTTGGGGAAAATCAGAGGGTAGATAAGATCCATCGATCAACATCAATGGATATATGAAAAATAATTAAAGGATTGGTACATAAAGTAATACAATATAATTGTGCATATTTGTAGTTAAAACATTCTTCATTTAAAAGTGAAACAGTGAAGAACATGAAGGTTTTTATCATTTTTTTCGTTATTCATTTATTTTTTTATTCATTTTTCTACAAAACTTTTTTTTTTATAATTGTATTTTTTCTATTTATCAATTTATTTGCCTTTTTCGGTTTGTATAGTAGTAAAACAAACTTCACAATAATAATCATCAAGTCCCAGGATCAGACTTAGACTTACTATTAAGTCAAACTTTTATAAAGCACTAATGAAAAAAATATTTTAATTTTTTGCCTACTTGGCTTAATCAAAATTCTATTACATGATTACAAGATGTTTATCCTGGGGCCAGGTCAGATTATTCTTTTGTGCCATCCCTGTTTTATAACACTTTTCTCCTGAACACGAGCCCAGACTCAAATCTGTTATGTAAAAGTAAATCTAATCTACGTGTCGCTTGTTTATAAATTCTTCCTGGCAGTGTTGGTTTCCTTTGGGTTTTAAACCTTCCATTCTCAGTTCCTTAATCCATTTCATCATTACTATAAACAACTGTTTGTGCACTGGTACTTACATTTAAAATTATTGTGAAAATTGAGTGTTTGCATCAAGTACATATATATGTAACAGAAAACTGTCTTGAAAATGAAAAATTAATCGGCATAGGAAATATCCAATTTTCGTTTGGATTGGAAAAATTAAGAAGTGAGTTTAGAAATTCCAGTTGCTTCTTCGCAGTTTTATACTCAATTAGATTCTCATAATTTTTTGTATTGAATTTAAAATCTCTTAGTAAATAAACCAGGGTAACAAATTCATCATTTTTAAAAGTGTGTTTGGGGCAAAATCATGTTCTACGATTATGTTTGATTAAGGAATTATAAGAAACATGAAATTTTTTGACTTTTGATTTTAGGCAGACTATTATAATACATTTTTTTTGTAAATACAGACAAAAAGAAGGGAAAGAAAATCAGCTTGTCATTGTGAATCCTTAATTTTTTTTAATCACTTTCTTTCAGGATAGATATGATTACGGAGAGGAATCATACGGACAATATCCAGCCAGAGATTATTATGACAATCCATTATATCCTCAAAAAGTGGGGTATGCAGCCCTAGGCTTCAACCCAAAGTATCTGCCTGCAGGAAACCCCTATCACAGCGAGGATGGAGGGTCAAGGGAGCGTCTCCACAGACAAAAAACATCTGGATCGTGGTCCGCCAAAAAGACGCGAACTGTCTGGGCAACGGTTGCTATAGCATTTCTCGTGGCAATAGCTACTGGAGTAGGAGTTGTGATTTTTTTAACTAGTCAATGTGAGTACCGTTATTGTTGGTGTTTTTTTAAAAATGCGTAGAAATGAATTTAAGGGTATCAATATTAGGAAGAGTGACATTTCAAAGGTTAGATTTAAAAGAAGAAAAAATTATGTCATTTGATAGACTCCAAGGAATCTACGTTTTTCAATTTTTCAGAACATTTTTTCAACCAACCGGTACTTTTTTATGAAAAATTTGGATATATGTACAATGCAACATGTCTGAAAAATACAAATGCATGACCCTAATGAAATATAAAAAAAGTTATATTGCTTTACGTTATAAGTTTTTTTGTGATTATAAAGCCAAGTGCCTGTGATTAAAGCACATATACATTGTAAAATACATTAAATTATGACTTGTGGGAAAAAAAAGCAGTTAATTCAAAAATATTTTACCATTTCTCATACATAATTATATTTTTAAAAAACATAATTGAATATTTCCAACATAATCTGTCTGCCCACACGAGTTTTCCTTGTTGGCAAACCAACGAGAAACTTCGTACTGTTAATAGTTAAGGCCCCAGGATCATGAAATCTCTTTAAACTTGAACTAGAATCTATTTCTTTTGAAAAAAAATGTTGAAAAGAATCAGTCCAAAATGTAAATACAATGTATGTTTCAAAAGTGCAATACCAAGTTCTCTTTCACTGAAGATTTAGTGTTTCAATGCATAATGTATGAATATTCTACAGATGATTGAAATTGCTTAAGTCTACGACTGTTTAATTACTAATCCTGGGGCCAGGACTCAATGTTTGGTAGAAATAATTTGATATGCACGTATTTGTTAAAACGATGTTACATCACTAAGCAAGGATAATGTTTTATCAAGGATACTGTTTTGTTCCAGCTTCAAACCAGAAGGATATCCCAAAGACTGTTTTCGAGGGCAGCATTAAAGTAGAAAAACCCTGGTCAGACAAATATAAAGATCAAACCTCCACCGAATATAAGGAGGCTGCGGCAGAATGTGAAAAAATGGTAGTAAACCCCGACTTTTACATTTATAAATATCTTGTAGTATACCAACAATTTATTAGAATTTTCATGTTTACAAAGTTATTTTGAAAGCTCTGTACAACTGTCAAAAGTACTCTTAAGCAGATATCACAAAAAAACATGAATTACTCAATATAGATATCTTGTAGTATACCAACAATTTATTAGAATTTTCATGTTTACAAAGTTCTTTTGAAAGCCGACTTGTTTTGTGGGCCTAAGAAGAACAATTCGTTTTAAAAAAAAGACTACGTTAAAAAGAAAAAAATCTTATCGTACCCTTTATTTCAATTTAGACACATTTCGACAAACTTTATTATCAATTTACAATGAAACATAATTATATTTAAACTATTATCGTGCTCAAAAGTCCAATCCATTGAAAGTACACAAATCGGGAGCCGAGAAAACATAAACCTCTTAAATCATCAACTGTAGGATCAGGTGCCATGGAGCAGTGAGCATCCCCTGTAAGTCTATTTCACCAGCCGTGTGCTTCTTCGGGATAAAAAAGGAAAATCTCGTAGACAATTCAGTGTGTAAATAACGGCCTTAAAATTCGTATGAAAATGACTAAATAATACATGTATATTGTATTTGCTGACAAGACGAATTTTATGTATTGACCAGAAAATTGCAAAATGATGACTCTAAATAAGATTGTTTATATTCTTGTTATCGACTGGACATACTAATGGAAGTAATTATTTTTAATTGAAAATACTTCGTCGATATAAATGTATATACATTGTATATTTCGAGATAAAGGCATATAAAAATAGGTCTGCTAAAGGGCGCTACTTATATCCATGGATATCTCAGAAACTCAAGCATCTTCTTGAATATCAATTGCAGAGTACTTGTATGCAGCAATATACATGTACCTTCATTACCTGCATACGGAGTTTAAATCTCCCAGTTGATTCGATATATAACATGCTCTACGTATGAAACGTTCTGAAACGAGGTAAGTTATTGACAAAGAGGTTGATGATACAGGAATATCTGTTCAGCAGTCTCCTTTAAAGTCATCATTTCACAAGTTCTATGGTAAATACAATAACTTTGTCAGCAAATTCAATGTTGCATATTTTAATGCTATTGATTTTTGTAAATTTTGTGATTTCAATGTTTTTGAAATAATTTTTAGTACTCATGTCTGATATACACCAATAGAATATATTGTAGTACAGTACTCCTAAACATTCTCCTTCACTGCTCTTAATATTTTGAAAAAAGAGGTTTTGTTAGTAATACCTGGTATGAATCTTTCATGAAATTTGGCATCCAGAATGAATAGGGTATTTCAAATTAATTTTGATCGTTGGAAATGTTAAATGTTTAAAACTGAAGATGTTAACAGATTGCATGAGAAACTTAAAATATACCTTGCAACAAGTTATTCAAGAAGTGCTGCTATATAATCACAATTTGTCTTAATCGAAGAATTTATGAGATTTATCACTGTATTGCACTCTTTGTCGTGACAAGAGAAGCGATGGAGAATAATAAACACTAAAATGATGTAGAAAAGGCACTTCCAAATGCGGTTTTAGACGTAAACGCCTAGAATAGGAAGAAAGAATTTCAGCAGTATAAAGTGCTTGGTATTTGTTCACTTTGAATCTTTAGCAGTGGGAGAAAAACCAGTAATAAAGTTTATGTATTTACAGGTATTTAACACGCTTGTTTTCAAAGATTTCAAGGATATAATCGCTTATTAAAAGATTGAGGGGCAAAATGAAAACCATCTACCCTTCTGTATTCTATAATCCAGAATTGGAAAAAGAATCAGACAAATTTTATGATCAGTACGTACTGGTTCCTGCTGACAAAGCAGGTAACAACATTGCCTTAGTTTGTAGGGCTCATTATATAAATTCTATTTTAGAAGAACGTGGATTTAAGGTTCATAAACCCTCTGCTCACTCATATAAAATGTTGCTTGAACCTTTAGTTAATAATTTTCCAAAAGAAATGTATTTTATAAGTAAAATACAAATAATTATAGCATAGCTTGCGGGGCAAAATTGGACAAAAAAGACACTTTAACTTAACAAATCTATAAAGGAATAATAGAAATTTATGTCATTAAGAGTTATCTCTCTTATCAGAGCATTAATGATCCTTAATTCTACAACTGGTGATCCAGTTTATAGTTCTATTTCTAAGAAAGAAACTCTTCAAAATCATATGCCAGGTTTAAATATTTTTAATATCCCAAACAACCAAAATGAATTTGAATTACCATGTCTATACTGAATTCCAAAACTTCATTAATATCATTACAAACAAAGATACATAGCGGTTTCCAATAAATGTTCAACCATGCCTCATTCTTTATTCCTCACTAAGATATTAAGAGTAGTGAAGTAAAAACTTAAAGAGTATTGAGCTTCAATAGAATCTAGAAGTGATGTAAATCAGATGTCCATACTTAAAAATTTACTTTTTGAAGATTATACCAAAATCAACAGCTTAAAACGTTTTTTCAACTTTATACACAACTATTCCCCACGTTAAATTAAAGTCCAGGTTTTTTTATATAACTGACAGCTGCATTTTCAATAAAAATGGAACTCGTAAATTTATTCACCTCGTCATTGGTCATTTGCAAAACTATTTTGTTAAAAACATTCTGATTGTATGCATAAGTACATCAAGATACTCTAGTTTCTGGTTGACAATATCTTCGTGTTTTCTGAAACCAGGGCTTCCATTAATCTAAAGGAATTCCCATAGGTACTAATTGCGCCTCGTTATAAACATGTGCAGACCTATTTTGAATTCATATGAATCAGAATTTGTCAAAAATCTTAAACGTGCAAAGAAGAAAAACACTTGTTGTGGCCTTCAGCTTGACCTGTAGATAAATAGATCGACGACGTATTGTCAATTAACAATGGTTATTTCCATTGTTATGTCAATACAATATATCCCGGTGAGCTTGAGATAAAAGATACGACAGAGTCTTACAAATCTGTTTCATATTTGGATATTTTACTTTAAAATGACTTAAATGGTAATCTAATGACCAAGCCTTAAGGAAAAACGTGATGACTTTAACATTTCAAATGTTACTTATGCATCAATATACCTTAATCAACTGCAGAAGGAGTTTATATCTCTCAGTTGAGTTGATACGCAAGAGCATGTTAGATACGTATGTACAATTTCTAAAATGGGGTAAACCATTGGCAAACAAATTGATGAAACAGGAATATCAGCAGTCTCGTTTAAAGTTATCATTTCATAATTTCTATGGTCGATACAACGACCTTGTCAGCAAATACAATTTATTATTGAGTCAAATGCTGACTGATGTTTTTCATACTAATTATTAGTCCATTATTTACACACTGAATTGACTACGAATTTTTCCGTTATATCCCGATCATGGCAAGGAGCACACGGCGGGTGTGATCGGTCGACAGGGTATGCTAAATCCTCTGATCCCACCTATGATGTTTTGAAGATCCGTGTTTGCTCTGCTCCTATTTTGTATTGTTTTATGGACTTTTGAGCTCGAATACTGTTCGTTATATTTCATTTGCATGCTTTCTGTTCGTGTTCCTCAAATATTCTTCTTTTTTCGTAGCTCACAACTCTCTACAAAAGTAGTACGCTGTCAGGGAATTTTGACAGTGCACAGTGTACGGAGTTTAGGTAAGATTATGATGAACACTTTCATTCTGACATGCAAATTTTTTTTCCATAAACTTAATTTTCTACTGAACAAAAACTGATATATATGATATTGCAAAATCAAATCTTTTAGTCCTCAAATGACCTTGATTCAAAAGAGATGTAGGTATGAATACTCTGAAAATAAATAAATACCGTAACGGTCTAAATTAAAGAACTCTGTGGACATTAATGGAGTTTTATGAAGAGACTTAGTTTTACAATCGACGACTGACTTCTACAATTTAAACAGAGACAAACTCCAATTACTGAAATGTAAAAGTCAGCTGTTGAATGTAAAAGTAAGTCTCTTCATAAAACTCCAATAGTGGATATTTGAAATAATTTCAAAAAATAAATTCGTGAGTGAAGTATTTTTTTTAATTGGCATTAAGGGTTACAGACCACATCGCCCTTAACAAAGTAACATATAATTAGGTATATATATGATATTCATGACATTTATTTCGCTTTTGATAAAAAAGTCAATTGATCGATCCCCATAGCTTCAAATTATTTAACCTGAATGCTAGTAAATAAATATGAGTTTTGTCAAAGTTACAAGCTTGTAGTTTTGTGATTGTTATAGAATGCACTGTAAACTATTTGTAAATGAGCAAGAATAAATTTGATCTTATACAGTACTTCATAATGAATGAGGAAATACCAAACTTTTTAAAATTCTTCACGGATTTTTTTTACTTGTAATATTTATTCTTGCAGACGCGGGAGTGTAATATACATCTTTGATGTTGTTTTCACGTCTGGCCTTGAAGTGACACTGACTAGGGTCAAGGACGTACTACAAGAGGCTGTAACAACAGGAGAATTACAGCGAATTGCTCCCACCATTGTAATTGACACAACGACCACAGTCCATCTTCAGGGTAAAGAGTTTCTCAACATAATCAGAAAAAAATGTCAGAAAGGTTAGTAAAAGAAGAAAAAAGTATTTTAATCATTTTGTTTCATCCTTAAAGAAAAGTCAGAAGGTGGGATCACAACAATGTCAACGGAAGCTCCTACACCATCACAGACAACCATGACTACAACAACTCAAGTTCCTATGACAACAACTCAATCTCCTACGACAACAACTCAAGCTCCTACGACAACAACTCAAGCTCCTACGACAACAACTCAAGCTCCTGCAACAACAACTCAAGCTCCTGCGACAACAACTCAAGCTCCTACGACTACTCAAGCTCCTACAACAACTCAAGCTCCTACGACAACACAAGCTCCTGCGACAACAACTCAAGCTCCTACAACAACTCAAGCTCCTATGACAACTCAAGCTCCTATGACAACTCAAGTTCCTACAACAACTCAAGTTCCTACGACAACTCAAGCTCCTACGACAACTCAAGCTCCTACGACAACAACTCAAGCTCCTACGACAACAACTCAAGCTCCTACAACAACAACTCAAGCTCCTACAACAACTCAAGCTCCTACAACAACAACTCAAGCTCCTACTACTACAACAGAAGGTACCTTTCTCCTTTTCTTTTGCTTTTAATGTCCCTTAACCCTTGGTATTTTCTCCATGCTTTTGTTAACCGAAACATGACCTGAGTTTTAAACATACCTCACTTTGAGTATAATAAAAAGATCCTATTGAAAAATTATGATTAGCTGAGGAGGATGAATGTGGGGGAAATGTCGGCAATTGCTTATGATTGAGATTTGACTTTTCAATTCCTTGTTGTCATACAATAGGCATTTTTCTGGTATTGTTTGTCCATCTTTTTTTACTTTGATTTCCAGCTCCTCCAAAACCTGTTATTTTCGAAGGTGTCATTAAAGTCAACCAAACATGGGATGAAAAGTTAAACGACTCAAACACTCCTGAATACAAGACAGCCAAAGTGGACTTCGAGCATGCCGTTAGTATAACTTTTATTATAATAAATAGGCCAGAAGTTCTTTTGCCTATTCCACTATAAGAAAAAAAGGCAGATTTGAAGCACACATAAAAGGTGAAGTTACTCAGAATTTTTGCAGTAAGTCAGCAAATCAAACCAAAATGTTAGTAAATATAATTATATAGATGGAGAGGGTCGCTTTTTCTACTATATCGGAAATGAAAAAAGCGATTAAAGGTTTGATTGATAAAATATAAGGAGACCACGTACAGTATTCAAGCTCAAAAGTCAATTAAACAATTCAAAATAGAAGCAGAGCAAACGCGGACCTCCAAAACATCATAGTTGGGATCTGGTGCCATGGAAGAGTGACCATACCCTGCCGTACGCTCACAATAGCTGTGTGCTCCTTGTCAAGATTGGGAAATAACGGAAAAATCTGTCGAAAAATCATAAAATGGCCAGACAATTAGTATTAAAAATGTCAGTCAGCATTTAACTAAATGATAAATTGTATTTGCTGACAAGGTCATGGTCTCGGCCATAGAGCTTACGAAAAGATGACTTTAAACAAGACTGTTGATATTCTTGTTTCAGCAACTTGTTTGTCAGTAGCTTACTTCATTTCAAAAATTGGACATTCGTAGAGCACGCTCTTACGTTTTGAATCAACTTAGAGATATAAATCTCGTTTGCAGGTGAAGGTATATATTGATGCTTAAGTAAGGGGAAATGACGATTGAAAAGTTAAAGTCATTTCGATTGTCATTAGGCTTGATTGCTACAATACAATTGACCTTTTTTCAACTAAAATATATAGATATGAAACAGATGTGCCAGTCTTTTTCGTGTCTTGTATTTCAAGCACACTGGGATATATCGTATCAACAAAAGAATGGAAATAACAATTATTAATTAACAAAACGTCGTCGATATATCTAAATGTCAAGTCTTTCTTCTTTTCTCGTATAAGAGTTTGAATGTACAAATTTTGCTTCATATGAAAACAAAATTAGGTCTGGTAATACAATATAACAGGCCACAATTGGTATACATGGGAATTCCAAAAGCTATAGATTGTTGGAAAACCTGGTCTCCAAAAACCACATAGATATTGTCAAACAGAGACTCAAGCATCTTTTTAATATCATTTTCAGTGTACTTGTGTACAAAATCACAATGTTTTGAAAAAAAAATAATTTTGCAAATGATCAAAGACAAGGTGAGTATATTACAAAGTTCTTTTTTTATCGAAAAAGCAGCTGTCAGTGATATCAAAAACCCTCAACTTCAATTTTTTGTTGAAAAATCGTAAGTTTTAATGTTCATTTTAGTAAAATTTTTGATTTCAAATTTTTTAATAGTTCCTTGGAATTTTTAAATATCCACATCTGATTTACACCACTTCTCGAATATATAATATCTATATCGACTATATGATTTTTTTTCCTTGTAAAATATATCGCTTTGGATGAGACATTATCTATAAATTAATAGCAAAGAACGTAAGATTCTTTAATCAAAAAGTTTCTTGGTTTTTTTTTAGATGGATAGTTTGTACCAGAACAGCACTTTATCTGAACGGTACAACCGCACAGAAGTCACCGGGATTGAGTAAGTTATGATGCTTTACATGATTTAATCTTTTTTTCAACTCGGACTTATTAACCTTTTCATTTCATCTGCTTTCTATATCCATTCTTTTATTTCAGGCCAGGCAGTATTGTTTTCGTGTATATAACTATCTTTAACCCGCCTCCTCCCACTCCCCCGCCCCCAACATTACCCCCCAATGTAACGGAGGGACCAGACAGTGGTACCCCAGCACCAACGATTGCTCAACCTGAGCCGGTACTTACTGTTGTGATGGTAGTCAACGTTATAAAATCGGCCATCTCGTCTGGAAAATCTATGAGGATTTCAGCCACAATTGTTATAGATGAGACGTCTGTTCAAGATGTAGAAGGTACGGGGACATTTTGTTCTATTTTTCGTGTTGGTAGTCCTGTTATGTCCTGTTCTGTTGGGTCGATGACCCACATTTCAGGCAAGCAAGTAGAACCAAGCGGAGGGATTGTCCGCTGCCTGAGAATAGCATTTCGTCGTTAATTTGCATGATTTTATACATTTAGGCCTAAAGGTTGACGGTATCCCCTGGTTGTTGATTTGTTGTTTTTTTTTTTGTTTTGTTTTGTTTTGTTTTTTTTGGGGGAGGGGGGGGGGGTGAAGAGTTAAACTCTCGAAAAATGTTTCTTGGAATAAAGGCCGCTTAAGAAAATTTTTATTTCCTTTTATCTACTGGAAATAAAACAAAGAGTTTATGCGATAGTTATCCGTCCGTCTGTCTGTCTGTCTGTCTGTAAACAATTTTTCAAAACGCTACTTCTCCTATAGTTTTGGTCTGATTTTAATATAACTTGGGACACAAGTAGACTACACTAAGATAGATAAAATAGTGCATCTGTTTTTGATTTCAATGAACGGTGTTGCCATGGTTACTAAAAATAGAATTTTCTGTGAAATTCCTTTAAAACGCTACACCTTCTATACAGCTTTGGTCTGATTACAATATTACTTGGCACACAAGTAGACTACACTAAGATACATAATTCTGTGTATCAGTTTTTGATTTCGATGAACGGTGTTGCCGTGGTTATTAAAAATAGAAATTTCTGTAAAATTGTTTCAAAATGCTACTCCTCCTACAGTTTTGATCTGATTTCAGAGTAACTTGGCACACAAGTAGACTACACTAAGATACATAAAACAGTGCATCAGATTTTGATTTCGATGAACGGTGTTGCCATGGTTACTAAAAATAGAATTTCCAGTGAAATTCCTATAAAACACTACTCCTTCTACAGTTTTGGTCTGATTTCAATATTACTTGGCACACAAGTAGACTACACTAAGATACATAAAAGAGTGCATCTGTTTTTGATTTCGATGAACGGTGTTGCCATGGTCACTAAAAATCGAATTTTCTGTGAAATTCCTTTAAAACGCTACTCCTTCTACAGTTTTGGTCTGATTTCAATATTACTTGGCACACAAGAAGACTACACCAAGATACATAAAATCGGATTTTGATTTCGATGAACAGTGTTGCCATTCTGTGTATCGATTTTTGATTTCGATGAACTGTGTTGCCTTTGTTACTAAAAATAGAAATTTCTGTGAAATACTTTTAAAATGCTGCTCCTCCTACAGTTTTGGTCTGATTTCAATATAACTTGGCACATAAGTAGACTACACTAAGATACATAATTCTATATATCGATTTCAGATTTTGATGAACGGTGTTGCCTTTGTTACTCAAAATAGAAATTTCTGTGAAATACTTTCAAAATGCTACACCTCCTGCAGTTTTGGTCTGATTTCAATATAACTTAGCACACAAGTACACTACACTTAGATACATAATTCTGTGTATCGATTTTTGATTTCGATGAACTATGTTGCCGTGGTTACTAAAAATAGAAATTTCTGTGAAATACTTTTAAAATGCTGCTCCTTCTACAGTTTTGGTTTGATTTCAATATAACTTGGCACATAAGTAGACTACACTAAGAAACATAATTCTTTTTATCCATTTTAGATTTCAGTGAACGGTGTTGCCGTGGTTATTAAAAATAGAAATTTCTGTGAAATACTTTCAATATGCTACTCCTCCTACAGTTTTGGTCTGATTTTAATATAACTTGGGACACAAGTAGACTACACTAAGATAGATAAAATAGTGCATCTGTTTTTGATTTCAATGAACGGTGTTGCCATGGTTACTAAAAATAGAATTTTCTGTGAAATTCCTTTAAAACGCTACACCTTCTACAGTTTTGGTCTGATTACAATATTACTTGGCACACAAGTAGACTACACTAAGATACATAATTCTGTGTATCAGTTTTTTAACTGTGTTGCCGTGGTTATTAAAAATAGAAATTTCTGTAAAATTGTTTCAAAATGCTACTCCTCCTACAGTTTTGATCTGATTTCAGAGTAACTTGGCACACAAGTAGACTACATTTTATACATAAAACAGTGCATCGGATTTTGATTTCGATGAACGGTGTTGCCATGGTTACTAAAAATAGAATTTCCAGTGAAATTCCTATAAAACACTACTCCTTTACAGTTTTGGTCTGATTTCAATATTACTTGGCACACAAGTAGACTAACTAAGATTTTGTAAAAGAGTGCATCTGTTTTTTTTATGAACGGTGTTGCCATGGTTACTAAAAATCGAATTTTCTGTGAAATTCCTTTAAAACGCTACTCCTTCTACAGTTTTGGTCTGATTTCAATATTACTTGGCACACAAGAAGACTACACCAAGATACATAAAATCGGATTTTGATTTCGATGAACAGTGTTGCCATTCTGTGTATCGTTTTTGATTTCGATGAACTGTGTTGCCTTTGTTACTAAAAATAGAAATTTCTGTGAAATACTTTTAAAATGCTGCTCCTCCTACAGTTTTGGTCTGATTTCAATATAACTTGGCACATAAGTAGACTACACTAAGATACATAATTCTATATATCGATTTCAGATTTTGAAACGGTTTGCCTTTGTTACTCAAAATAGAAATTTCTGTGAAATACTTTCAAAATGCTACACCTCCTGCAGTTTTGGTTGATTTCAATATAACTTAGCACACAAGTACACTACACTTAGATACATAATTCTGTGTATCGATTTTTGATTTCGATGAACTATGTTGCCGTGGTTACTAAAAATAGAAATTTCTGTGAAATACTTTCAAAATGCTACACCTCCTGCAGTTTTGGTTTGATTTCAATATAACTTGGCACATAAGTAGACTACACTAAGAAACATAATTCTTTTTATCCATTTTAGATTTCAGTTTTCCGTGGTTATTAAAAATAGAAATTTCTGTGAAATACTTTCAATATGCTACTCCTCCTACAGTTTTGGTCTGATTTCATTATAACTTGGCACACAAATAGACTACACTAAGATACATAATTCTGTATATCGATTTTTTATTTCGATGAACGGTGTTTTTTTTCTAAAAATAGAAATTTCTCTGAAATGCTTTCAAAATGCTACACCTCCTACAGTTTTGGTCTGATTTCAATATAACTTGGCACACGAGTAGACTACACTAAGATATACAATTCTATGTAACGATTTTTGATGTCGAGGAATGATGTTGCATTTTACTTTGAAAATACTTGCTAAAAGTTTATTAATAGCTACTTTACAGCTGTAGTCTTAGGTTGCAGTATCTTGCCACAAAAAGGGCTCAATCAAGATCATTTTTTTTTTGCTGTTGGGGGGTAAAGTTTTAAGTCCCAACTGCTAAATGTTTCATTTGTTATAAGTACAAACCAGTAGAGCTTCTGTCTCCTTTTTTCTTTGTGTTTAATTTCTTTTTTGATATCGTAATAAATGTATTACCGGTATTTGTATGTGCAAGAGAAATAATGAAAGTTGTGGTAAACATTGCAGTGAGAACAACCACAACAACAACAACGACGACAACAACCACGACGACAGCAACGCCATCAACAACAACACCAAGAAGCACTCCATCAACAACAACAGTACCATCATTAACATTAAGACCATCAACAACTAATACTCCGTCAACAATAGCAACAACAACAACAAACACTCCATCAACGACAACGTCAACAACAAATACTCCATCAACGACAACAATAACATCAACAACCATACCAACAACAACAACCCAAACAACAACAAAACAAACAACCACACCAATGCCAACAACCACACCAAAGACAACAAAACAAACAACAACAAAACAAACAACCACACCAATGCCAACAACCCAATCAACAACAACCACACCAATGACAACAACCCAATCAACAACAACCACACCAATGCCAACAACCCAATCAACAACAACCACACCAATGCCAACAACCCAATCAACAACACCAATGACAACAACACAAACAACAACACCAGTGACAACAACACCTTTAAGAACAACAGAAGAAAGTACATCATCAACAGAAACAACTAGAAATCCAATCAATGCAGAAACAACAGTGCCAAATACAACATTTGAACCAAAATCTACTACGCATGTGATCACAGACATCACCACTTTACCATCAGGGGAGGTCACCTATTTGACTGATATTGAATTGAATGAAGTACCTTATCATACTGATTACAATGATCCTAAAAGTGTTATGTACAGAAACTTGGAATCTCAGATTGTTGGAACGGTGAGTTCTATTGTTTTCGTTTTCATTCGTATGTTAGGGGACGACCATTTGATTCTGAGGGGGGGGGGGGGGGGGCTGGCAGATTTTGGAAATAAATAATCTGTCCTCCTCTGCAAAGAAAATAAATAATCTGACCTTGACATGATATTTAAATATTGTGAAAATACCTTTTTATTTACTTTCAATTTAACCTCAGAATCTTCAATTCAGCATTTTTTTGGCTCTCTTCGCTCGCCATTTTAGAACCAAATAGTATTTAAAGTCAGATTACCAGACCACAGGTACTTGTGGACAGGACCCCCCCCCCCCCCCGATATTCAACCCCTGGGCTTATTGGACATTTTTTTTTCAAAAATTATATTTATTACACTTATTCATCATGTGTACAATATGAAGAAATCGTCAAAACCCCAAAACAATCGCTCCACAGAAAAAAAAAATAATACCCCACTATACATTATAAAGGAGACTCCCTTATAATGTATAGTGGGTAATTATACCCGCACTTTCGAAAGAAAGTTCGGGTATATTGTTGTTACTCATGTCCGTCCGTCCGTCCGTCCGTCTGTCACACTTTTCTTCCCTGAATTCCTCCTACATTTTTCACAGTAGCTTAATCATCCTTTGGGAGATGGTTGGTGGTGTCATGTAGATGTGCAGTAAGGTTTCGGAATTTTGATTTTGCCCCGGGGGATCAAATGGGGGTAAAAAAAACGTTTTTTATACAAAAAGCCCCTTCTTCCCTGAACTCCTTCTACATTTTACTCAGCAGCCTAATCATCTTTTGAGAGATGGTTGGTGGTGTCATGTAGATGTGCAGTAAGGTTTCGGAATTTTGATTTTGCCCCGGGGGATCAAATGGGGGTCGAAAAATGACGTTTTTTATACAAAAAGCCCCTTCTTCCCTGAACTCCTTCTACATTTTACTCAGCAGCCTAATCATCTTTTGAGAGATGGTTGGTGGTGTCATGTAGATGTGCAGTAAGGTTTTGGAATTTTGATTTTGCCCCAGGGGATCAAATGGGGGTCGAAAAATGACGTTTTTTATACAAAAAGCCCCTTCTTCCCTGAACTCCTTCTATATTTTACTCAGCAGCCTAATCATCTTTTGAGAGATGGTTGGTGGTGTCATGTAGATGTGCAGTAAGGTTTCGGAATTTTGATTTTGCCCCGGGGGATCAAATGGGGGTCGAAAAATGACGTTTTTTATACAAAAAGCCCCTTCTTCCCTGAACTCCTTCTACATTTTACTCAGCAGCCTTATCATCTTTTAAGAGATGGTTGGTGGTGTCATGTAGATGTGCAGTAAGGTTTCGGAATTTTCATTTTGCCCGGGGGGGGGGTGGGGGGGATGGGGATCAAATCGAGGTAGAATTTTTATATATTTTTTTTTTTTACATATATTTGACATGTTTAATCACCCTGCTTTCAAGAACTTCCCTAATATCTTATGCTGCAATAGCTTTAAACCATGATCATTTAGAAAATGATTGGTTTGTTTTGTGTATATGGAAAATGGTTTCAAAATTTGAATTTTCATATGGATGGCAAAAAGGGGCTGGAAAAATATGGCACCTCCCTAACCCTGGTGGTCATGATTTGTACAAACTTGAATCTACACCTCTTGAGAATATTTCCGTATTAATCATGCTCTTGGTGTTCCTGAAAAGAAGAACTTTAAAGATGTGTTTCCTTTTATTCCTAAATAAAACTTTGATCCCTAATTGTGGCCTGACCCTAGCCTGAGCTAGGTGATGATTTGAAAAACTAGAAATATGTCTATAGGACATGAATTTCCCGCCAGATGTGTATTACTAATGGTACATTAAACAAGAGGCCCATGGGCCACATCGCTCACCTGAGTACTGAAGCTAAGAAAAAGTAGAAATTGGTTTATTATTGAAAAGTTAAAATCCAAAAGTAATCCCATGATCAATCATGGATTTGCTATTCTTCAAAGAATTTTCCCATATATTTCTATGTAAAACTTTGGTCAGCCATTTTGGCCCCGCCCTACCCCCTGGGGTCATGATTTGTACAAATTTGAATCTACACTCCCTGAAGATGCTTCCATATAAATATGATGAATTTGTCATTCTTGAGAAGAAGATTTTTAAAGAATTTTCCCATAAATTTCTATGTAAAACTTTGGTCGGCCTTTTTGGCCCCGCCCTACCCCCAGGGTCATGATTTGAACAAACTTGAATCTTCACTACCTGAGGATGCTTCCATATAAATTTGATGAATTATGGCTTTGTCATTCTTGAGAAGAAGATTTTTAAAGAATTTTCCTATATATTTCTATGTAAAACTTTGGTCAGCCATTTTGGCCCTGCCCTACCCCCGGGGGTCATGATTTGAACAAACTTGAATCTACACTATCTGAGGATTTTACTCCATAAGTGTCATCTTTCCTGGCACAGTGGTTCTTGAGAAGAAGATTTTTAAAACATGCCACCAAATTTTCATTAATTCCCAATTATCTCCCCTTGAATGAGGGCATGGCCCTTCATTTGAAAAAACTTGAATCCCGTTCACCCAAGGATGCTTTGTGGCAAGTTTGGTTGAAATGGCCCAGTGGTTCTTGAGAAGAAGTCGAAAATGTGAAAAGTTTACAGACAGCTAGACAGACAGACAGACGCCGGACAAAATATGATCAGAAAAGCTCACTTGAGCCTTCGGCTCATGTGAGCAAAAACTAAAAACTAAAATTTGTATTTGTGTATAAAGTTTGATGAAAATATCTTAAACAGTTTTTTTTTTCAGAATTGAAACTAAAATATAAATAAATTGGATATAGATAATAAATTCACATCAAATTATGTATAAGTGCATGTTAAACATAAAAATGTCTTAAATTATTTCTTAAAAACTAAGCAAAATACATATTAAAGAGGAGGGAGGTCAAGGTCACAGGAATGTGCAAGATGAAGTTTTTGATGCAGCTGAATAGCTCTCACTAATACATATTAGGTTATTATGTTTGATAAAAATATCTTGAATGATTTAATGAAACTGAGCTTAACACTTTGTTTTAAGAAAAGAGAAGTCAAAGGAAAGGTTGTGGTCAAAATGTTGTTCTAGCTGAAAAGCTAACATCAGTGTGAATTTACTATTATCATATGAATTTTGATAAAAATATAATTAATGGTTTATTTGAAACTTAGATAAACACATATTTTAAAAAGTGAGGTCAAGGTCAAAAGAAAATTCAAGGTTAAGTTAATGCAATAATAGCTCTCATCAGTATGTATTAGCATATGAAGTTTGATTAATATATCTTGAACTGTTTATTCAAAACTGATCTAGTCTAAGACAGTGAGGTCAAGATCACAGGAAATGTCAAGGTAAAAAAGAGTGAAGCATTGTAAAGCTTTAATTGCTTACATCAGTATGTATCATCATGTGAAGTTTCATTACACAACTTGAATCATTATGGTTTCTCTAAAATAAAGCTAAACACTAATTTTAAGAAAAGTTAAGTAAAGGTCAAAGGAAAGTAAAGGTAAACAAGATGTGTTTGTGAAACACTATGCGCCCGGCGGAAACAAAGTTCAAAAAATCTATTTTTAGCATATTGGTTACAGTCAAGGTCACAAGGTCACTGACCGTGGTGTCATTTGAAAGAACTTAATCAGTGGAGTATGCATCCCAAATATGAAGTCCCTATCTACTAAGGTCATTGACCATGGTGTCATTTGAAAGAAATTAATCAGTGGAGTATGCATCCCAAATATGAGGTTCCTATCTCCTATGGTTCAAAAGTTATGGCAAAAAGTGTAAAAAGCTATTTTTAGCATATAGGTCACAGTCAAGGTCACAAGATCATTGACCTTGTTGTCAACTGAAAGGGCTTTATTAGAGGAGTATGCATACCAAATATCAAGTCCCTATCTCCTATGGTTAAAAAGTTATGACAAACAGTGGAAAAAGCTATTTTTAGCATATAGGTCACAGTCAAGGTCACAAGGTCATTGACCTTGATGTCATTTGAAAGGACTTTAATAGTGGAGTATGCATACCAAATATGAAGTCTCTATCTCTTATTGTTCAAAAGTTATGGCCAAGGTTAAAGTTGACAACAGACAAACAGACAGGACAAAAACAATATATGCCCGGGATCTACCGATCCGGGCGCATAAAAAATATTGACACAGTTGGATAGTTTACATCAGTATATGCATCAGCATATGAACTTTGATAAAATATCTAGAAAGTAATTTCTTTGAGCTCAATGGAAAGACAGATGGATGGGTGGAGGACGGACATGACAAAAACTAATACATGTATTCCTAATCATGGCGTAGCATAAAAAACTTGGATATACATTATATGAGGATGTTTCCATATTAAGATTATACATGCAAATTCAAAGAATTGTGGTCCTTTGCTTTCTGTGTTTAAGTGAATGGGATGCCATAATTTATGGCAGATTGTGTATCAAATATGCATCCCTATCATATGTCACTTTATGAAAATTAGGTCAAAGGGGGGAAATCATCGCATGCTCGAAATATTTTGTTGCAGGTAAAGTACATGTCAAATATGAAAGACCCATCTCTTTTCAATCAAAAGTTATATATATATATATATATATATATATATATATATATATATATATATATATATATAAACATGATAAATATATAATATAATATTTTTGAAAAGTAGGTTAAACTTCTAGGTCAAAATCAGAAAGTCAAAAGTCATGATATATTTAGAAAATTCTTTTCACATGTAATATACATGTATAATTTAAATGCCATATCTTTTCTCTTTCAAAATGATTAATTTAAAATGTTATTTTTTGGAAAGTAGGTAAAATTTTGAGGTCAAGGTCTCACTTGGGTTAAAAAATCATAGTACATTTAGAAAGTTTTGTGGTAATGTACATGTGAAATATGAAAGCCCTATCTCATATTATTCAAAAGTTATGATCAAGGTTAAATTTATTGTGACAGATGCACATACTGTCAAAGATGGCCAGACTGACAGACAAA